CGGTGGACACGCGCAGAGACAAGCCAGGGGATGAGAGCGCTAGGCACGTCGGCCTTGCGCTCCAGGGGAAAGACTGTGGTGTAACGAGTGAAGTCGTCGACAAGCACAAGGAAGTAGCGCTCTCGACGCGGCCCAGGGACGGGGGCGGGGCCCCAGACGTCCAGGTGCAGGGTCTGCAGCGGCGCGGCGGTAGGGGAAAACGAGGAGGAGTGCGGGGCACGGCGAAGCCGACCCTCAACACAAGGCGTGCAAGGTGGAGCTGGGGAGGAGGGAAACGCGGGGAGGGAACCTGGGAGACCAAGGACAAGACCGTGCTGGGACATGTGACGCAGACGCGGGAGCGCAGGGTGACCTAGGCGGTGGTGCCAAAGGAGAGTCGGGTGAGTGAGGGACCGACAGGAGCAAACAGCAGCAACCTGGGTAGACGCAGCCACCTGAGGAGGTGCCCCAGCCGGGGGGGTCACGGTGTCCAGAGTGAACAGGCCGGACACCGGGTCCCGGGGGAACGTGGACAGGGGGGCACCAGTGGCGGCCTCGGTACAGACAGCATACCGCTCGTGACCAGGGAACGTAGTGGTGACGCCAAGGTCCTGGAGGCAGCCGACACCAACTAGGTTCCTGGAGAACGAGGGGATATGCAGACCTGTAAGAGAGCCCGAAGGAACCGCCGGACAGGGAAGGGTGGTGGAACTGCGGGCGACGACCGGACCGCCGGAGGGGTCAGCAAGAGAGACGGCAGCTGGGACAGGAAGCGGCGTCAGGGTGGTACAGTCGCGGAAGGCCCAGGAGGGGCGCTACGGAGACCAGGAGGGGCACGACGGGGGGCCCAGGAGGGGCGCTACAGGGGCCCAGGAGGGGCGCGACGAGGCCCAGGAGGGGCGCTACGAAGCCCAGGAGGGGCGCGACGGGGCCCAGGAGGGGCGCTACGAAACCCAGGAGGGGCGCGACAAGGCCCAGGAGGGGCGCTACGGGGCCTAGGAGGGGCGCGACGGGGCCTGGGAGGGGCGCGACGAGGCCCAGGAGGGGCGCTACAGGGCCCAGGGAGGGCGCGGCGGGGCCCAGGAGGGGCGCTACGTGGCCCAGGAGGGGCGCTACGAAGCGCAGGAGGGGCGCGACGGAGCCCAGGAGGGGCGCTACGGGGCCCAGGAGGGGCGCGACGGGGCCCAGGAGGGGCGCTACGAAGCCCAGGAGGGGCGCGACGGGGCCTGGGAGGGGCGCGACGGGGCCCAGGAGGGGCGCTACAGGGCCCAGGAAGGGCGCGACGGGGCCCAGGAGGGGCGCTACGGGGCCTAGGAGGGGCGCGACGGGGCCCAGGAGGGGCGCTACGGAGCCCAGGAGGGGCGCGACGAGGCTCAGGAGGGGCGCTACAGGGCCTAGGAGGGGCGCGACGGGGCCTGGGAGGGGCGCGACAGGGCCCAGTGAGGGGTGTGACGGGGCCCAGGAGGGGCGCTAGAGGGGTGAGCGGAAGCGGTAGGTGGGGGGGGGGGATCCTATCTACGCGTGATACCATAACAAAATTGAGATGTTGATAATAGATAGAGAGTACACACAGATATACCTAAGTGTTGTACTCTCTAAGAGGCGACCCTATACAGTCTATACAAAGATGACAAATACACATGTTTGACACTAACAGATATCCTTTACAACAAAAACCTGAAATTTCAGGAAATGCCAAAAACAAAACCCTAGCAAATCAGGACTGGTACCCCTCAAGACCCTGTTTTTTTCCTGAATCAGGAAAAATTTCCTGACTTTTGGGGGCCTGGACTCGACCATTTAGATGCCATTTGCGCAAAAACACTGTGTGCATCGTCCGGAGTTTCTACGATGGGTTTGGGCGAGGAAATACAGGCGCGTTATGACCAGGGAATTCAAGTGATTTCCAGGTCTGCAATTTTAGAATTAGCGACTGTTCGCCAAAAAACACTGTTCTGTACGCATTTGCACTGTTCACGGAAGCGTCGTGGCACTGGGATAACCCTGGCGATCCTCTCTCTATCTCTAGGGAGGGTACTGGGGAGGCATTCCTCGGGGAAGGTGGATATATGGAGCCTAACCCTCCTGATGACATCCCTTCTTGTCCCAGTGGTTAGGACTGGTGACTTTATGACTGGAACCCCCTAATTCGGTCGCACGACGCGTATTGCACTGTTCACCGAATGATTTCGTGCAAAAGTGTCGCCAAACCGCCATGGTCAGATTCCGCTTTGCAAAACGAAATGTTTCTATTCTGTTTCGTTTACTCTAAAAATCAAGTCATGTGCCAAGTTCAAAAGGAAAATAAACAGCCCTCTTGAATTCTATTATAGCCACGGGCTTTAAAACCTGCAAACTCAAATCGTTCAACAGCAATGCGTTTGAAATCTGGGAGTGAGTGAGCTTTTTGAAACATTTGCCACAAATGTTGGTTCATGAAGGGCTTCAGATTCGTTTTAGGGAGGCTGGCCAGTCTTAGGAATCAGAGTACAAAAAAAACTTTACCCTGACGTCTAGAGTAAAAGTTTTCTGAAGTCTGATTTGGCAGGGTAAAAAAAATCGAACTCTTAGCTGAAAGTGTAGAATTTTTGGCACCCTGTCTAACTCTTACCATTCTTAGCAAGTTCAGTTTTGGGTTTGAAGTGGAATGCGGTACAACGCGGTGCTTCAAGAAAGAAGGGCACGCGAAACGCAGGTGAAACGTGAAACAAGCGTGCAGCGAATTTGCGCGTGCGGGGGTTGGGGAAGGTGAGGAGGGGGGGGGGAATGGGGGAATGAAGGAGTTGAATTTGCAGGGGCGTGAGCAGGGCGGGAAGAAAATCAGCAGCACGTGATTGGGTGCGGGAGGGACATCGAATTTGCAGGACCAGGAACAGGCCAGGGAAGTTTTTACATGCTCGTGATTGGGTGGGTGTGGTGGGACATGTCTCTGGTTCTTGTGTCAAGGACTTCGCAAAAAAAAAAGGCTTACGTGGGGTATGGGGAGAGTGTATCTTGTGGGGGACTTTGCCATTTTGTATTGGTTGTGGGGGGTGTTGGAGGGATGTCTCTGAGGACTTCAACGAAATTTCAGGGTTCCTGGGTGTGTGGGAGGATTGTCTCTGGGGCGCGAGGGACTTCGCCAAAATTTCTGACTTGCGGGGTGGGTGGGAGGGATGTCTCTGTTTGTGGGGGACCTAGCCGGAATTTCAGAGTTTCGGTATCAGGGTAGTTTCGAGGACATCCTGAAGACTCAAGGTGCCGGGTTCCGCAACTCTGTTTTTCATCAGGGTTAAAAGTCCGCTACACTCTTTGGATCAGCCTAACAATATTTGTGAGTCTGCTTATTAAGACCAAGCCCAAAAACACCTGGAAAAATCAGGGCAATCAGGGCATTTCACCCAGCTAATTTCGGGCCTAGGTGGCCCATGTGAGAACCCTGTTTTACAGGGTCGGGTTTTGGGTGTGGTATGTTTTGTCTGACTAATCAAGCCTACATTTTCTAAGTTTCTGATTATTGTTTCGGATCGGACTATTGAGAGAAAAGTTGGCTAGTGCAAGTGTTGTACATATACGAGCTGCCTCTAGCTAGGCTTATTTATATATATTCCTAACACATATATGAACGCTAACACACCCGCTAGCCTGCGTTAGGATCATCTCCGCATCGGAGTCGACTAATGCAATAGAGAGGTAGTGATTAAAGTGTGTCGAGTACAAGTGAAGCACATGGCTAAATACAAGGGAGACTCGAGGAGGGCCACGAAACACATGCGATATGGTTTGGGCGCCTCAGGGCTTGGAGGGTCAGACGCGACTACACGTTTAGGCTTGGGGGTCTCGAACGTAGTTCGGGACCTAGGTTGTCAGGCCGAGCCTGGACTCCCGAATGTAAGGAAAATCCCTTTTCCTGAGCCTGTACTCGGGGTTAATGGGGTTCGCTCAGGAAAATGGATTTTCCTTACACCTTTCCCCCTCCTAGACGAGACTACCCACACCTGGGGCTAATTTGTCAACAAATATATTTATATAGGTTAGCTAGGTCATATTTGTTTATAGCCTAGCAAGTTTAGTCCTTAGCGAGTACAGCCCTAGTTTTGCATCCCTCGACAATTTCCCTTAGTCTCCACTTTTCCCGCTACTCTAACATGGTATTGAGCTAGGTTCCTTTTTTTTTTTTTTTTTTTTTTTTTTCCGCCGTTACTGTAGTTTTTTTTTTTTTTTTTTTTTTTTTGGGGTGCATGTGACACTCTTTCCATTTCGCGCACCCCCCTGCCCTCCAATTTCGCGCTTCGTAGCCTCGAGCCAAACTAATTATGGGGAATCGAAACGGGGAGAGGCCTTTATAGCTCGCTACTCCCCTCGCTCTCTCCCTCCCCCCCTCCCCCCCCCTCTCACTCTCTCTCTCTCTCTCTCTCTCTCTCTCTCTCTCTCTCTCTCTCTCTCTCTCTCTCTCTCTCTCTCTCTCTCTCTCGCCCCCCCCCCCCCCCCCCCTTCCCCCCCCCCCTTCCCCCCCCCCCTTTTCTGCTCCTAATCTTCTCTTATTTGTCTCCCTTTTTGTTCCATTTTCTCTTGCCTCCCTCCGTTCCTTTCATGCCAGGCACTACATTTGTCCGCTATCTCTACTGACCTCCTTTACAGGATTGAGCCGACTAGCAACTGTATCTCTCAAATGTATGTTTGCATGATACCTTAGAGATGGTGGTAGAGACCACTAAAGCATCAGCGTGTTACGAATGGTCTTGTTATGCTAGAATCTCTCGGCTTGTTATTTTTGTGGGTACAAATTGTACTTGCTAAGTGAAATATCTGTATACGTTCTTGTGACGGTTCTGTAAAAAATGTTACGTGCAGTGCTTCAACCGTGGATTATCAGTTGCACCACTTGTGGGGCTTGGAGAATTCGTCGTGTTCGAGTACCTTAAAAAACGACCGTACATCATGCCTCTCTAACTAGTAAGTCTATGCTCGACTTGGTATTCTTGAGGATACGTGAGATGTTGGTTGGCATGTTTGGCTGGTGTCCTCCAGACGCTCTGTTCTTGATGCACGATGTTACGATGCTAATGCTGTTCAAGGTTGAGCGATGAGCGTTGGGGCTAAACCATGCCAATCGATGAGCATTGTTGCACTAGAACCTTGTAGTTCTCACATCTCATCCATTTCCATCTCTCTCTCTCTCTCTCTCTCTCTCTCTCTCTCTCTCTCTCTCTCTCTCTCTCTCTCTCTCTCTCTCTCTCTCTCTCCCTCCCTCTTTGTCTCCATCTCTCTCTCTCTCTCTCTCTCTCTCTCTCTCTCTCTCTCTCTCTCTCTCTCTCTCTCTCTCTCTCTCTCTCTATCTCTCTCGCACTCTCTCTCTCTCTCTCTCTCTCTCTCTCTCTCTCTCTCTCTCTCTTGCTCTCTCTCTCTCTCTCTCCTCTCCTCTCTCTCTCTCTCTCTCTCTCTCTCTTCTCTCTCTCTCTCTCTCTCTCTCTCTCTCTCTCTCTCTCTCTCTCTCTCTCTCTCTCTCTCTCTCTCTCTCTCTCTCTCTCTCTCTCTATTTTCTTCACTAGGTTTTGAAAAAGCATGGTGTCATCATCAAACTCTAGCGTCATAGTTACCGGTGAGAGATCTGATGGTGAGTTTGAAAATCAGTACAGGTTAAAATTTTGCCCGATTATTCGAGATGGTAATTGCGTCTATCGTAGCTTATCCTTGTGGTTGTTTGGTACACAAGATGATTACCCAGGGGTGAAGCAACGCCTTATTGATCATGTGGCTTTATAATGGAACAACCCGGAATATGATTATCCGACCATAGAAAACACTGCGTAGATGCAAACTTTTGCCACCGGTGACGAGTATTATGCACATGTCTCACGCCGTAACGAGTGGGGCTCTATCACTGAGGTGAAGGCCTTTTCGGTTGTTTTCGATACGAATTCAATTATTTGGCCCTTCACAAGTCATTTTATTGCATGTTTCCATGCGAGTGCATCTCGACCAGTAATGTGTTTACACTTTGATTTGTCAGTTCTTTATTGGGGCCATCAGAGTTTGGAGTCATGTATGGCACTAGATATGTATCAGAAGCACGACGTATGTCATTTGTAGGACCGTCTATTAATGGTACAATGCGAGACGACCAACTAGATAAGACAAAGCTCATTGAAGTTCCGATGACCGTTCTAAGGAAGAATACATTGAGTGGAGCCTTATCACATGGCTTACAACGTCAGATGAGTAATGGTAAGTGCCTAGATGAGAAATGTCGTGATATTGATAATGGTGTACAGCAGCAGATGATGAATGTTCCTCTCGAAAAATGGCGCAACAAGGTATGTGGCAGCAATAGTGATACTGAGCATATAGTGCGCATGGAGCTAGAACAAGACGAGTTCCAAATGTGCGAGGATTTGCGCGATCGTCATGTACCTGGAAACCGGGTAAGCAATGGGGCACATCCTTCTGTGGTGTGTTCTCTCACTTTGTCGGATGATGCCTCTTCAAAATTAGGCTCCCAGTGGTCCAATGTTTTGGATGATGCTTATCAGTCGGCCAACAATGACAACACTTCATGTGTCAAAGATACATGTTGTATGGTGAGCACAATGGTAACGGAGAGCTAGCAAAGGACGATGTCGCATCTGAATGGGCTAGGAAGTCAGGTATGAAAAGCTGTCTACGATCTTCGAGATCAGTTCTGCATTTGCGAGTCAGTGTTGCAGCTACAAAATTTACCAGAGCCTCCCTTCATCGGTGTAAGAGTAGCTGCTCACGCCTTCAAATTTGTTGTAAAACACAAAAAAACATACACATATTCGGGCTTTCAGCATGCGTTTGATGCTGCTTACGGTCGATCATATTTTATATACACAAAAATAGGTGCGTCAGAAAATTATATGTTGGACGTGAAGTTTGAATTACATAATGAAACTGGCACTCTTATTCCGAATGAGTTTCTGGATGAGAAATTCAGAAATGTTGCCATTAGCCCGTTTGCTAGCACGGAAAAGAAGAGCCGATTCATGGAAAATTTCCTCAGATTGTAATAGCAAACCTGATATAGAATGTGCAGGGTGTGGTACCTTAAACTTCGAGCGTAACATAGTACGGTCAAAGTCTTCAAAAGCAGGGCAATGCGTGTGTCGATATTGTGCAAAATATGAAAACAACAACAAGGTATCACCGTTAGCTTCACTCAACGAGAATGGCTTTCCTTCAAGACCAATCGTACTGCAAGACCTAACAACATTAGAAGAACGTCTTGTAAGCCCACGTATTCCCTTCATGGAGATTTCTTCCTTATCTGTCGGTAAGCAATTTGGTATATGTGGTGGAGTCATAAATATTCCACTTGAAGTAGACAAAATGGTACAATCATTACCACGTTTGCAAGATGACTCACATACGGTTACAGTATGATTAAAACACAAGATGGAGTATAGAAATAACGCGTACTAAGAAAATGTACGACCGACAAAGGTTCGTAAAGCATTGCAGTTCCTATGCGAACAAGACCTTTTTAAAGAATACGATATCCGTCTTGATGAAACGAATGCAAAATTGCTTGAAGATACGAACAATACCATGTTGGTGTCAAATGACATCGAGATAGCTTCTTTTTCTTCAACCGAAAGTGATGAAGCTGAGCCACACAATGTTGGTGTGCTCGATACGTTCTTAACACAAGAGCAATTTTATCAGCAGCCATCATAATCCATCGGGCAAATCGCACCTGGCGAGCATTCACGGCCGATGTCTTTAGTGCTATACAAAGATGTTGAGGAACAAAGCTTTCCATCGATTTATTGTGGTCAACGCAGATCTTCTTGTCATCATCAGCTCAATATATCGTACTCTGATACCATCAAAGGGGAGCTTAAACATGCAAGCGGTCGGTGCTCCGCGAATATTCCAAATATATTTTTCAAAATGTACAAAAAGGAGATATTACAAATTCAAAGCGTTGTTGTGACAAGTGTTAGGCATGAAAAAATCAATAATCTGCAGTCGCTAACAGCTGCAGACAGGCTAAATGAAACAAAACGAGCGAGTTTGCAACAAACAGATACACTATACAATGACTTCAAGGCAATTCGTACCACACAACAATATTGTGATAAGTGCAAACGTGATCTCTTTGCAATCTTTGCAATCTTGCGACAAATAAGGGCAGACTGTGGCTCCTGCTCCCTGTCCTCTGCAGGACCTCCAGTTGCACCTCGGCTATCACTCGCACCCCCAGGACTAGCACCCCTGCATGCACTACCCACAGAACCAGCACCTCTAGAGTCACCACCCCCAGGCCTAGCACCCCAAGAACCTGCACCCCCAGGACTAGCACCCCCAGAACTAGCACCTCCAGAACCAGCACCCCTATAGCCCACGGTCCTTGGCTGCTGCTGCTGCTATGACCGCTGAGGCTGCTGCTTCTGCTAAGAGGCCTGGGGTACCTGGGTTGGGAGAGGAATCGAAGGGAGAGAAGCCACACTCCCAGCAGCTTGGCCCCCAGAGTCAGTAGACTCCCACACGGGCCCGATTGAGGGGAGCGGAGTGGCGTGAGAGACACCAGACGGGGTTGGGCGGGGCGGGAGGGGTGCGGCAGGCGGGGCAGGGACGAGTAAGAGAGGAAGAGGAGGAACTAGAAAGCTGGAGTGAGGGAAGCGCCGATAGTAGGGGAGCGTCTCGTCGAAGGTAACGTCACGAGAACGGTTAAAGTGGTGGTGTACCTGGTCGTAAAACAGCCAATCAGGGGCATCAAGTGGAAACCTGAGGAAAACACATGGACTAGTGCGGGCTGAGAGCTTGTCCGCACCAGTGGCACGGACGTGAGCAAGGCTAACCCAGACACGAAACGAAGCGGCGACACCTGGGGACCTGGTTCAGAGACGAGTCGGCGAATCCTGTGGTCACCGGGAGCGCGGCCACATGTTAAGCTGGTGAGCTGCGTAAAGCAGGGGGAGGGAGAGGCGGGGAGAGGGAGTGGCGCAGAAAGGGAGCGGCGTAGAGAGGGAGTGGTGCAGAAAGGGACAAGAGCGGGGAGGGAGAGGCGCGGGGAGAGAGAGGCGCGAGAAAAGAGCTGCTGAGAAGGTTGAGGAGACAGGAACACAAGGGAGAGGCCGCGGCGTGGGAAATGAAAGACACGGATAGGGTTGAGAAGGCAGGAACACACCAGAGAGCAAGGCGCTAGGGAGCCACTAAGAAGGTTGAAAGTGCAGGAGCTGTTATAATCACAATAGGCTTAGATGTGCCTAGAATGAGAGATAGAGAGCATAGTCGGATTTCCGTCAGATGGCTTCAAATATTGATAACGACCTGGTCACTGAATCAAACGGTGATCTTTAAGTTGGATCTGGAGCGTGTTGCTGTCGTCTATCAGCAGCAAGTTGAATCATGAAATTCCATGAAGATTTGACGACGCTATGGCGGTTTGACTGGCAGGAGGTATAGCAGCCACTATAGTCTTAGGTGTACAAACTTTGCACGAAGAGTTCGAGAGGGAGATGGTTCCCAGCCTCTACATACCCCAAGAGCCGAGGTCCAGGTTGGTGGTACACCACCACAGAGTCCCCAACCATGAAGAGTCTCGAAACCAACCCTCCAAGGGGCTACACCAAGTGAAATGTAACACTACACGAAGTAACGTTACTATTTTCTCTATTTAATATTTATCCGCGTCCCTTGGGCTTGAAATCTTGAGCTCTTGTTCTTGGATCTGCAAGATAAATTCTTCTTGAGTTGATGGGGGCTTGCTGCACACACCTGCGACACGATGGACACTTCACACTCGACAAAATAGAAAAAACACATGCGACACACAAATGACGACTTGACATGCGAGTTGTAAAAACTTGCTAATGTCTTGACCGACACAAACCACATTGTGATACACCATTCAAACACACACACAAGCACTAGATAGCAATGACATAGACTCACAATTCATTCCATGCCATGCATGCACACACACAAACAAGGACGACAAGCCGAGTGCAAGCCATAGGGTTGCACCAACAGGAGCGTAGCAGGGAGAGGGAGGAGCGTGGCGGGGAGAGTTTGGAAACGAGAGGAGAGAGGAGATCAGTAGCGCCAGGGGACACTGCGAAACGTTGCAACAACATAACCATTTAACAGTCACATGGGATGAATGAAGTGCGATAACGCGAGAGCAAAATGGAAGGAAGCAATTTCAGAGCTAGAGGGAAAACGGTTCTCGCGCAAGGGGCCAACGGGAATACGGGAGGATCAGAATGTGGCCGGAGTGACACGCGGCAGGAGCGCGCTTTGCTAAATTGCGTCAATTACTCAACCCGCAACCGCATCTTCGCCGCATTGACAAGGTGGCATCAGTCCCAAACGAGAGACCTCTTAGACAGATCTTCCTTAGTAGTATCCTAGACCTCTGCCAGGCTCCAACACAAGCGAAACCCTAAATATCACCATTGGGTTGCTAATCGCTAGTGCTTTGGATTTTGGCTGCCTTCTGCATGCATGTTTGGATCCATGCAACCCCCAACCGCGCGTCACCTCGTGTGAGCTTCATGGGTGGGGTTTCCAGTTTAGGGCCCCACAACCTTGACCCCACTTTTTTTTTTTTTGGTTGCGGAACAACCTA